TGAGGGCGGGAGCACCCCCTCTCGGGCCGCCGGAGACTTGCGAGGCTGGGGTCGCGCGCCGGTGTGAGGTTGCCTGTGTGTGTGTGTGTGTGTGTGTGTGTGTGTGTGTGTGCCAGCTCAGGTTCCAAGCGGGACCCAGTGCTGGGGACCCTACCGGGAGGGGTTGCACATGAGGTCGTGGGCATCGGGGTCACCCCGAAGTGTGCACCCGACCAGACCCAGCAGCTACAAACTTCCGAAAAGCTCGGCCGCGATGCCTGATTCTGATTCTCAATCAGTTTTATGGCTGTGGCTTCCCAGAGGCTTAAGCGGACTCAAGTTATCTCACTTAAAGCCGGCGTTTATCAACAAAGTGCAAAAAAGACCTGGAGCCCCACTCCTCCCTCTTCCCGCCCCTCTTTCCGTTCATTCCTTCCTTTTCTTTTGGAAACAACTCAGCTTCCCCTATAATCTCATTGATCACTAGATTTTGAAGGAGCGGGGAGAGGAACAGCACAATGAATAAAAGGGCACACCTATTAGGTTCCTAATATTTAAGAAGGTTGAGAAACATTACGAGGGCCTTTGGGCTGAAATGGTGAGGGATCAAAAACACTGGTTTGGAGAACATTAAAAGACTGATATAATAATGTCTCTTGAAGAAACTCGGGAGGTGGGCAGTTTGACACTATCATCTTGTTACAAAATAACACTACATCTTCCCTCAGGAACTGCACTTTTAAAAAACAGAATGGAAAATCTGTACCAAGTATTTAAATACTGTGCTTTTCAAGCGAGAAAATTCATAGACTATTTAGAATACGAAAGTCGGTGACTGCTAAGAAACAGCTTATATCTTAGTTTTAATTTAATTAATTTATGGGGCTCAAGCCTGGGGCCTATCACATGGAGTGGGCAAGTACTACATTCCCAGACAAGGAGTTTAAAACGTAGAAGGCTCTTTAAAATTCATGCAGAAAAAAAAAAGGTGTCTTTAAGACTTGGGCTGGGAAATGAAAGTAGGTGGCTGGTTTTTCTGTAGATATTCACTGCTGTCTTTTTGAATACTGGGGTTCATATTTTTCTGTTTTTTGTGTGTTTGATTTTTGCAGTGAGTAAGTCTACTTGTTTTGGGGACAGTGGCTTAAAAACAGGTGGTGAGATTTGGTTTTGAGACAGTCATATTGATACTATTTTAAGGGAGAGCAAGTCATATTTAAATTTGTTCCGGACTCCGTCAGTCATTTAAGACTGCATGGCTTTAATCAGCGGCATCTTCGTTTACCTCTGCCACAGTCTGAGTAGTGACCCCTATTTCAGCACTCCTTATTTGAGGGTTTGTATGTGAGGTGTTTGATGAGCATTGTGTATAGTCATAGCTATTTTGGGAAGGCTTGGCACTCCCAGGCTGTGGCTGGCTGCAGTTGCCTGATGCCTGGCGACCTGCAGTGATGACATTTACTGGTATTCCCAGAGATTTTGCCCCAGCTGACATGATAAGCTTTGAATGCTGGGTAACCGTTGCCCTTTTTGCTCAGGCTGGGATAAGGTGCCTGAAGGCATGGGCTGAGATGAAGGAACTTAAAGTGTGGAGCATAACTTTTATATTTCGGGAGAGTATTAATAACTTCTTCCTCTTGGTAAGTTCTGTGTAGGATGGATGCTTTTCTTTTGCATTCACGGAGGCATTCTGCCTTCCCTTAAAAGATGTTGAACGGAGTTGAGAGGAACTATCCTCCCCCGGACACTCAGGAGCTATTTAAAACTTAGCATGCTTTCCCTCCCTTCCCCAGCTGGTCATCTGTACAAAGGACAGATAAAACCATGTATAGGCTCGCCACCATTTTAGTGAGTGAAAAATAGAGTTCTCTGCAAATGTGCTCTGGGATCTGAGTAGACACTCCGCGGTCCCTAGACGGTGAGTTAAGGACAGCTTCCTGTATTTTAATCAGTTCTCAACTTAGATTAGAACCAGCAGGAAAGTTTACTGTTAGGGTAGGATAAGCAGCTTGCTGTCAGTTTGCTTCTTAGGAACCCTTCAGCACCAAGGATTCAGTCCACACAATCCCCTCCCCTTCTCTCCCACGTGGAACCCAGGGCCTTGTGCATTCTAGGCCAGCACTTCACCAGGCAGCTGTATGCTTTGTTGCACTTGCTGTCTCTGTCCTTTACTTCATGGTGTTTGTAATCATCCTGTCTTGGTCTCTCTGGTGCTGGGTTAGAGATGTGAGCCACTGCACTCAGCTTCTTTTAGGTTGTAACCTAGCTCCACCACTCTGCTCTTTCAACCCGGGTCATGTGCACACAGAGGGAGCAGTATCCTCGGCACGTTAACAGATAACTCATATCAGGTGGGAGCTGTGTGTTCTGTTTCATCAAAATAACTTTCTGTGTGTGTGTGTGTGTGTGTGTGTGTGTGTGTGTTTGAGACTTTCTTGTAGCCCAGACTGACCTCCAGACTTTGTGAGGGAGGATGACCTTGAACTCTTGATGCTCCTGTGTCTGTCTTCTAACTGGGATTATAGGCTTGTGCCACAGAATCTTGTAATCAGAGAAATTTGAAACAGTGCTAACAATACAAGTAACAGCTAACTCACACTCTTTCTCTCTACCCTCTCCCTCTTTAGCCCAGGCTGGCCTAGAACTCTTAACTGTCCTCCTGAGTTTTGGGATTACAAACTTTTCCAATCATACCCAGGTCAAAAGTTCCAGCCTCCTCCAGTCCCCTGCTTTCCACCTTGTTTTTCACCCTGTCTTCTGTTTCCTTTGCATATGGCAGCTAGCTGGCCCTGCACTCCAAGGGATCCTTTACCTCTCTCTGCCTGCTGTAGGTACGAGTACCGGGATGACAGGGGCTCTTTTTGTCTGTCCAGCTTTTGTATGGATTCTTGGGAATCAAACTCAGGCCCTTATGCTTGTGTGGTGAGTGCTTTTACCACTGAGCCATCTCACGCACCCTTAAAAAAAAAAGATTGACTTGTTTATTTTTACTTACGTGTGTTTGTGTGTGCCTGCATGTGTTTATGTGTACCATGACTGTGCAGAGGAAGAGGGTACCAGATCTCTTAGAACTGGAGTTAGAGGTGGTTGTGAGCCAACTGATGTAGGTGCTGAGAACTCAACCTAGAGCCTCATCTGCGAGAGCAGTAAGTGCTCTTAACTTCAAAGCCATCTCCCTAACTCTCACCTTCTGAGGAGATGACAGGTTTTGTTGTGTTGTTGTTGTTGTTGTTGTATATAGCCCAAACTGGTTGGCTCCGTATCGTCATGCCTCCTCTTCTGAATTACTGGTATCTCAGCTGTGCCACCGTATCCCTTTTCCCAACCCTTTTGTTTTTTTAAGAGCGTGCATAGGCCTCACTATATAGCCCTAGCTGGCCCTGCTTTCTCACTCTGGGATTAAAGGCATATATATACCACCACACCCAGCCTCCTTATATTCTTATACTTGATGGCTTTCGCTGTTGTTTGCTCTTTCCATGCAGTCCAGGCCAGCCTTGAACTTGGAACAATTTTCTTGCTTCAGTTTCCTGAGTGCTGGAATTATCTTGTGTTTTCACTTTCCAGCAACAGAACATTTTCTGTCAGGGCAGCTTTACTCCAAACTGAGGCTTTTGTTTGCTTTGTTTGAGGTAGTCTCATAGTGTAACCAGGGCTGGCCTGGAACTTGCTGTGTAGGCCAGAGTGGCCTTGAACTTATAGAGATCTGCTTGTATCTGTCTCCCAAATGTTGGTATTAATAGGAGTGTGCCGCCATGCTTGTCTCATTTTAGTATCTTTATTTTATTTGTGTGTTTGTGGTGTTGGGATTCAAACCCCGGCTTCCAGCATGCTAGGGCAAGCCTTTTACCCCCAGCTCTGTCCCCATTCTCATTCTATTTTTTTCTTCCCTCCTACTGTGTGTGTGTGTGATTCTATTTTGAGTATTTTGAGACAGTTTCTTGGTATATAGTTTTCGAACCTTTGGTGATCTTCCTACCTCTGCGTCCCAGATACTAGCTAACACTGAGGCTGTGCCCCACCACACTCAGATCTGCCCCATGGCCTCTCTTTCCAGCCTCTCTCCACCCCCATTTTTTCTATTTGCTGTTTGATTTTGGGTTGCTTCCTATATCCCAGCCTGGCCTTGATCTTCCCACATAGTTGAGGATGCTGAGAATGACTTTGAACTTCTGATCCTTTTGCCTCTACCTCCCAAGTACTTGGATTATGGGTGTGTACCACACTTGGGTCCCCTTATTCCTGTAAAACCCTTTCTAGAACTCTTCCAGTGGCTTAAACTTTTAAAAGAGTAGTATAATTTTTTGTATTATTTTTATGGGGAGGAGGGTAGGGAGGAGCATGGGTACCCATGTAGAGGTCAGAAGACAACTTGTAGGAGTTGGTTCTCTCCTTCCAGAGTGGTTGCTAGGGATTGGGCTAGTGGTCAGACTTTGCAGCAGGTGGTGTACTTATTTCACCAGCTCCACGTCTCAGTATTCAGTTTTCTCTAATCCTCAGAGTTTGCTGATATCTAAGAGCTGTCTTATGTTTTGTTCACGCCATT